AACTGCAATAATAAAATTATTTTAAATATTCTTTAAATAGAAAATTAATCGCGAATCGTTCGCGAATTGTACGCAAATTTATCATTAAAAAGAAAATTTATGGCGAATTGTTGAATTTTTTTAAAGAATTGTTCGCGAATTAGTGACAAATTTTCTTTAACTGAAACATTCCTTGTAAATTTTTTTAAAGAGAAAATTTATCAGGAATTGTTCTCAAATTTTCTATAAAAGAGTAATTAAGAATATATAAGAATTATTTCATAAATACATCATTTAAAAAGAAAATTATTCAAAATTGTCTAATAATAGAAGATTTATTAAGAATTTAATCCAAATTTTGTAAAAATGGGCAAATGTTTTACGAATAGAAGATTATTGAAAATTATCTACAATAAAAAGATTTATAGCGAATTGATCGCAAATATTCTATAAACTTTTTCTATAAAATTTAATCGCAAATCTTCTATAAACAAACAACTTAAAGCAATTTATCATTAACAAGAAAATTTATGACGAATTGTTGAAATTTTTTTCAATTAGAATTGTTCGCGAATTAGTGACAAATTTTCTTTAAATTTAATATTCCTTGTAAATTTCTTTTAAAGAGAAAATTTATCAAGAATTATTCACAAATTTTCTATAAAAGAGAAATATTAAGAAAATTGAGAAATATTCGCGAATTTTTTGCGAATTATCTCGTAAATACATCATTTAAAAAGAAGAAGATATTGAATATATATAATTTGAAAATAGAAGATTTATTAAGAATTAATCGCAAAGTTTGTAAAAATAAATCAATAATTGGCTAATGCTTTACGGCAAAGTTTCACTAAAGAGAAAAGTTATAGCGAATAGAAGATTATTTCGAATTATCTACAATAAGAAGATTTATCGCGAATTGATTGCAAATATTATATAAAGTGTTTGTATAAAATTTAAACAGACAACAATTTATAGCAATTTTTTCCATTTGAGATAAAAGCTATCATGAAATGTTGGAAACTTTTGGAAACAGAGGATTATTCGCGATTTAATTGCAAGTTTTTAGTAAAGAGAGCATTTTTGCGAATTGATGGCAAATTTTCTATAAACATGGAAAAATCTATCCCTAATTATTTAAAAATTAAAATTTATTTGGAATTGCGATTAATTCGCAAATTTTTTAAAGAGAATTTATTCGCTAATTATTCATAAATTTTCTACAAATACAAAATTTATCTCAAATTTGCGCTCAAATATAATTTATCAGAAACATTTTTCTAAATCTCCTGCAACAAATTGTTTCTTATATAATCTTTAAACTAACATTGAAAAACTGACCCCTAAACACTTAAAGTAATTTGTCTACCTAGTAAAAATTTATACACTTTCGAAACAGCATGCTGCAAATATCAAAACCAATATGTATTTAAACAGTTTACATTTTAACGACTTTTTTTCGTTAATTTTTTCAAAGTAAATGTAAACTTTGTTTAACGTTTATTAATTTATCTAATTGAGTTTTATTTGATTTAGTGAAATTTTTGAAATAGTTAAAAACATATGGAAAAAAACGTTAAACATTAAAAAAACCTATAAAATAGGAACGTGCTATTGATTATCTAAAATTAAAATCATAACTTCAAATGTAGATTTAAAGAGCGATAAAAGGATTTTATAACAAAATTTTATGTTTTTTTCCAAAGAAAGTTTTGAAATAAAAATAGTTTGTAATTGCTTAAAAATACCACTTAAAAAGGCATTGTAATAAAAGTATTTTTAATGCTGCTAATTAGTATGCAAAAAAACTGAATTGTAATAGTTTAAAGTACTTTTTGAAAGCATACTATTTTGTTAAGTATTAAATTGTCAAAATTGTACTCAAAAAAGAGGGCCCCAAAAAGCTAAAGTCATAGAAAATTTTCTATAAATTTAAAATGAATTCTTTATTATGTTCTCTCTGTAAAATGCTTAAAGGATTCGTTATCCTTAATGAAAATACAAAATATTTTTTTTTTCGCATACAAATTTAACTGAAACAGTTAAGGATTAAAGCGGATAAAAACAGCAAAAAGACTAAAGAAAATAAACATTAACGTCAAAAAAATGACAAACAATAGAATATTAATGCTTTAAAAAAAGAGGAATCTAATTAATGTAGAGTTGGGGGATTTTTTTGGTTCCCCACAATAAAAAGCTGAAGTTTTATATACCAAAACAAAAGCAGACAAAAGGAGATGATTAAATAAATAAACAGGATTAAAAAATATTATTTTTCTGTTGTTTGCAAGTTAAAGATTTGTTTTGTTTTTGTGAAGTGATTGTTTGTTTGTTGTGAAAATTAAGGAAAAATTATTTTTATTGGAAGAAACATTTAATTAAAGCTTTGTTGGGTTATTGTCTAGCAAAATTCATAAATTAAATAATTATCTTGGTAATAGACCTGCAAAAGTATATATATATTCTGCGTCCTTGATAAATTTTAAGACGATCTAGCCATGTTCCGTCCGTCTGTCCATCCGTCCGTCTGTCTGTCTATTGAAAGCACAATAGAGTCCGAATGGAAAGAGCTAGAGGATTGAAATTTTCCACAAATATTTTTTATAGGTAAGGTTTGCTTGGCATTGAAAATAGCCAATATTGGTTCACGTTTTCGCATAGTCCCCACATAAGTGGACTCCCGAAATACAGCTTTAACAGTCAGAACTGCTTTAATAATATGATTAGAGCAATGAAATTCGACATAAATAAGTTTCATATAAGCAAAAATTGCTCCACCAAATTTTATAAGAACCGGTTCATAATTGACCCTAACCCCCATGTAAGGGCCCCTTCAGAAAATAACTTTAACAATGGGCGTTAAAGATGGCTTGAAAATATATAGATTAAATTTGACATAAGTAAGTTTCTTTCTAGCCAAAATCTATCTAACAAATTGTATGAGAATCGGTCCATAATTGACCCTACCCTCCATATAAAGTACTACTGGCTTAAATATACTAGTACAGTTATGAAATTCGACTTAAGAAACTTTTATAGGAACGTAGAATGTTCAATTTTATATACGTCCACTACTGCAGGTTCAACCATTTGAGGATTGAAAGTTCGCCAAAATGCTCATACGGATTTCTGTAGTGTCCATGCAAACTTTTATGATTCAGCCTCTAATAGTTTCCTAGATATAGGAATTTTTGTTCTTAATTTATAAGTTAGGTGACACGCCCTCTATTGCAAGTTTGCCCAATTTTGGGCAATTTTGGAGAACTCTAGCCGTTATATTTTCTCACATACACTTTTCAACATTTTCTTTATATGGTAGGTGCCACGCCTACTGCAACAAGTTTGTTTATATTTCTGAGTTATGTAACTTTTAATACTTATTATAATGTGGAGAGGTCAAATATTGGCCCTGAAGTATCCTCAGAAATATTTGCCTATTCGATAAAAATTATGATCTATTGTCCGGCTGTCCAATAGATCCAAATTGACACATTTTTCCACTTAAGCCCCATATAGCCAGATCAGCTGAACTGGACGTCTCATAATCGATTGAGAAAATGATTTTGAGGTGGAAGAGGCACCAATATTTCTCAAATATCTTCCTCATTATAATAATTTAAGTTATAAAAATGGCGCCAAAAAGTGATATTTAAAAGAATTGTTTCATGTCAATTTTCAAATTGATAAAAGTTTATAAAGTGACCTATTAATGAACCTTTTCGATAAAATATTTGTTTAAAGATTTTAGTGTCTTGCATAAAAATCAAATAAGAAAGTACCTATAGTGGGGCGAAGCCGACCATATGATACCCTTAACCTGTTCTGAATATTAAATGTGATTGGTGTTAATAAGTGAATTGTGGATATTAAAGTCACTTTCTGAGGGGGACTTTGTATGGGGTCTAGGGTCAAATTAGGTCCGATCATTTCGAAATTCAGAAAGGACATCAAAGCTTAAATGAAACATAATTGTGTCACCTTTTATCGAGATGCAATTATATTTTACAGAATTATGAGCTTAACAGCCCTTTTCGGGGGATTCAGTTGTATGGGGGCTAGATGAAATAATGCACCGATTTTAATAATTTTCAATAGGCTTCGTCCTTGAAACGTATATGCCAAATTTTATCAAATTATTTTGCAAATTGTGACCTGTACTTTGATAACAACGTTTATATGGACACACGAACGGTCGGACGGACAGACATCCTTCGATAAATCGAATCTGAAAGTGATTCTGAGTCAATCGGTATACTTTAAGGTGGTTATAGTATTAAGGTGGGTATTGTATTAAACACATAATACCCTACCCACTATAGTTACAATCAAAAGATTTTAAAACAAATTTTTCACTTGTCTCTAGCAAATATGTGTTGTAGTGATTAAAATGAAACTTTTGTAAGTTTAAATACCCTTTAATCTTTGGGTCGGTCATACATTGGTACTCAAAAGGAAACTTTTTTTCATAAAGCAGTCCTTAGAAACTGATTAAAGTTTTGTTTAAAATTATATCAAACAGTTTTTTCTAATTTCACTCATTTTAAACAACCTTCACTTTTACTAAATTACTTAATTTTTATTCATAAGTTTTCCTTAAGGCAAATAATTTTGCATACATTTAAAAAGGACGACATTTTCTTTATCTTGTGCACATTAATTTTCAACAAAAACAAACACTTTTTCTTTCACAAATTTTTCATTGTTTTCTTTATGATATGCAAATAATTAAGTTTTTTTTTCTGGACAAAAAAAAAAACACACACACACACATAAGGATGAGATTTGTTAAGTCCTGGGAATTTTTTAGTATAATTATGAGATTTTTTTTTAGTTTTCTCTTTCAACTCCTTTAAATAGTTTGACACAATACTTTAATCCCATTTTATTTGCCTGGTACAACACTACTGTCAGATTTATATAAACCTCTTTGTCAAACAAATATTTTAGAAACACAGAACACAAAAAACAATTATTCCTGTTTTTTTTTTATAATTTTTATATAAAATGTTGAGGATGCCTACCATTTGTTACGGGATAAAAAGAGAAAAAAGTCACAAAACACTGTTAATCCTTGAAGTTGTTGATTGTCGGGTTGGTTGGTTTGTTGGATTTATGCTGATGACAATATTAATGACGACGACTAGGACGATGTTGCTGTTGCTGATGATGATGACGACGACAAGGATTCTACTGTTCACAATATTCGTTTGTTTGCTGATGATGCTTTAGCGTATCAACTTCCGGTTTTAAGTTTCAAACATTAAAACAGCAGAGAAAAAAAGACGAGAATTTATAACAAACAAACGGAAACGGATATAAGAATGTTTGAAAATTTTATTTTTCGTTTTATTTTCTTATTAACTTGTAGAACACACATACACAAAAACAATTGCCAGAGTTTTTCGTTTTAAAACTAAACCAAAAAAAAAACTTATAAGTTTTATTTGTATTTTTTCACTTTTTTTAATATTTTAGTTAAAAGACAAGTTTTTATTTGACTTGTCGTTATTTTTCGTTTCAAAAAGAAAAAAGCAAGAAGCTTGTTGAACAAGCTTCAGTTTCTTTTGCTTAGATAATAAATAAATGGTTTTTTAAAGAAAAAAAAAAAAAAAAACCGACGCGACAATTTTTTTCCAAAAAAACAACCGGCGTTCGTATACGACCCGTTGCTTGCCACTTGTGAATATTAAATGCTGGTTGTAAGATGTTAACGGTTACTATTATAACCACAAAATGCCCAAAAATTGTATATTTCAGTTATTTTTCGTCTGGCTAACGGAAGATCGCACATGTAATACATATAAAATTCGTTTAACACAGTTGCTGTTTGTTGTAGTTGTTTTAGCCATGATGTTGGCTTTTTTTCACAGCTTTTTGGCCAGGAGAGAGTAAGTGCACACACACACACTTACAAAAAAAGAGTGCGAGTCATGAAAATAATGCAAATAAAACCGAAAGTGTTTTTTTTTTTATTGTAATGCCCTGACAGTGACTTATCTGCCCAAGTACGTACGTTTGCATGTTGTTGTCTGTCTATCCATGATCTTGCTTCCACTCCCTAGAGAGTGTTAAAAATTTCGATTGCAAAAGAGCTCAACACAGATCTCCCCTTATATTCACACACTTGAAATGTAAACAACCTGTTTGTTGTTGTTTTAAAAAAGACACACATTTTTTTTTTTAAATAAAATGCAAATTTTCAATGCTTTTACTGGTAAATGTTAGGTAGTTGGGGATTATTTAATCACTTAATGCTTGGTTATAGTTTAGGATCCATTAATCATAAGAAGTGGAAGACAAAGTATTGAAAAGTAAGTAGTAGATTGCTTGATCATCTATTGATTGACTCACTGACAGCCTACTTGAGTCATCATTGGCCAGACCAAAGGAATCAAGGTCTTATATGAAGTGATTCATAAAGATGACGAATAGGAGTTTTAGATTCATCTCTGCTTAATCGTATATTTACATAGTATATGAAATTCCTTTCATAGTCTGAAGAAAATACCTTTATAATGTTAATCATCGAGATATTCCATCATGCTTTCATTTCTGGTGACATATTTTGAGCGTTTTTCTTCCAATAGTTAAATGCATTCTTCATACTTATTTGGCGTTTAGTACCTGTTTTATACCCTACACTAGTATGCGTTTGAGCCAATGTTTGTAACACCCAAAAATATTGGTCCTATACCCACCTTAAAGTATACCAAAATTAGCTTGTGTGTCGATTTAGCTACGTCCGTCCGTCTGTCTCTGTCTGTCCGCTTGTCCATGTAAACATTGTGCGCACGCTACACGCAACAATTTTCAATATAATTTGATGAAATTTGGCCCATAGTCTTCATTTGACTCAGTTATGAAAATGGTGCAAATCCGTTCATTATTTCGCATAGACCCCATACAACTGTATACCCCGAATGGGGCTTTTGAATTCTTAATTATGTTAACTGTTCTAGTATCTTAAGAACAAATCTTCAAAACTTATCTTTATAAGTGCCTAAATAATACTGCCGATATTCATAACGATCGGGTCTCCATATTATGTGGAAGATATGATCAATTATGGGCCTATAAGAAACTACTCAAGAATTAAATAAAAACCCAAATTTTTTTTCGAGGTAGACTAAAATTTATACTCATTACTTTTTACGTTGTGTACCGATTTTGCTGATTTTCAATACCAAACTGATTAGGACAACAGGGAATATATTGGGTGAATTTGATTGATTTCTTTTGCTTAGTTTTAATGGGAGCGTGTTTTAGACAGACAGAAAGACAGACAGACAGACAGACAGACAGACAGACAGACAGACAGACAGACAGACAGACAGACAGACAGACAGACAGACAGACGGACGGACGGACGGACATAGCTAAATCGTTTCATAATTTCATACACACGAAAGCACAAACTTATATATATCCTCTGTCATCTCTAATTATGGAGGATGGTATAATAATCAATGTATTTATTAAACTCTATAGAAATTGATGCATAATTGATTTAACTCCTCATAAACCTCCAATTCCAAACATCATAAATCATTAAGCAAATTATTAACATACAAGTTCTACAGACATCGCATAAAGTTAAATATGAGACCTACATATAAATGTACAAAGTTACTATTCCCATAACAGTAAATATATATTTTAATCAAGTCTCTTCGTTATTCCCCACAATCAAATTGCTTGGAATTCAAAACCCATCAACATCATCGTCATCATCTTGAACATCAGCAGCAATAACCTTACACAACATTTTGTTTAAATTCATTTGCTTTAGTTATGGTCAAGTTAAAAAATCATTTTACGAAGAAAACAAACCCACTCACTCACTCCACTCACCACACTCTTGCTATAAAACGCTCTTTAACACATTCTTTTTTCTCTTCAGCAACAACAATATCACACGAAAAAGCCATAAAAATAAACAAAACAATTTCGCTTTCATTTGCATCATCAACGATCAACAACAACAACAACATCAATTACCAACATATTTGTTTTGGCCAAAAAAAAAAAATTGTTTACCTAAATACCAATACATGATTATGGGGACTTCTCATACTCTTATAGACATAATACTAAAACCGGTTTAATTAGGGTTTACAAGACAGAGAAAGAGATTGAGAGTTACTTTAAGTCGCTCTCAGTTGATCTTTAAAATTCACACGCACAACATTATTTACTCATAAGACGAACGAGCGATGAATGTTTAATATTGATGATGTTAATGACTGTGGTCTTGGCCGGCCAAGACTCTGCTACATACCCACCACTATCACTTTTGCTTTCATGCCTTCACTCACTCACTTACACTTAGCACTGTGTTTGGGTGCATACGTGCTTATTGCTGATTGTGTTAATAGTTGTTGGGAAAACTCTGTACGAAGAAGATCGTTGTAGAGTTAACAACTGCATTTTTTTAAGTTTATTAGTTTTTCCAGTTTTTATCTATGACTGAAGGCTGAAATGAAATAATAAAATTTTTTTTGTTTTTGTAATTTTTGATGTTCGTAACCATTATGACCTGTGGTTAAACCAGTCTTACAATTATTTTCGGGGTTTCGTTTCGTTATATCTCTACTTATGACCGGTGGGTGGTAAAAGACAAAGAGCCAGTTTTGAGTTTTTTTTTTCAAATGAAAGATCGTGACTTGTGGTTTTATTGGGTTGAAATGAAAGTAATTTCAAAGTGAGATGTTTACTTGTATAGTCTAGAAAGAATAAACTTACAATACAAGTTGTCTTTTAATTCACATACAAATTATTGATAAGATGTAATTTGAAGTAATCAATATAGCCAAAATATTAGAACAAGTATAGTCGGACATAACATACCATTTGATACCCTACATCAGTTATTACCATAAAATGTGATCTATATTTCATAACAAGTAATAATTTATGGTGGGCATGGCCGATAACTTACAAATTTTGATTATTTTTTTTAATAATAAATTATTTAATTTCATTTTTACCTTAATTCAGAAATATTTTAACAATTTGTTGACAAAAAAAGCATTTTCTAAAAGAGGTGTTATATGGGGTAGAGGGTCAATATGGTCCTATTCTTGTATATTTTGGTAGAGGAATTTAAGCCTACATCAGTTATATATGCAGAATACCATCGTCATATTAGTGTTTATAATTGAATCAAGTTATTTTCTGAAGGGGACTTAGTATGGGAGATAGGGTCAAATGAGGCTAGATCATTACGAAAATCAGCAGTATTATTAGGATTTACATAAAACTAAGTTTTGTCGATTTTTAGAGTGATAGAAGAACATTTAACATATTTATGAGTTCAAAGGTCCTATTCAGGGTACGGTTGTATGGGGCTATACGAAATAATGGACCGATTTTAAAAAAGGCTTCGTCCTTGGGTCAAAAAAAGAACGTGTGCAAATTTCATGTGATTATCTTGAAAATTGCTACCACACGGATGGGCAGACAGACAGACAGACAGACGGGCAGACATAGCTAAACCCACTGAGAAAGAGGATTTAGCTATGTGGGTGGGTGTAGGATCAATATATTTTGGCGTTATGAACTATATGGTAAAATGGGCCAACCCCTATAAAATTTTTCAAATTTGTTTGTATTTTACAGCCATAACTGAATATGGCCATAAGAGTAATTGTTCTGAAACCGACCAGGTGAAGATGAAAGTTTCATGGAATTAGCTGCGCATGACAGAAGGAACGAACATTTGTTCGTTAGTTGTTAGATTAGTTAGTTAAGTTAGTTAGTTGTTAGTTATTTGATTTAGTTAGTTAGTTAGTTGTTAGTTAGTTAGTTAGTTAGTTTTAGTTGTTAGTTGTTTCGGTTAGTTAGTTAGTTCGTTAGTTAGTGTTCGTTAGTTAGTTAGTTAGTTTATAGTTAGTTGTAGGTTTTCGATTCGTTCGTTAGTTGAGTTACTAGTTAGTTAGTTGTTAGGTTTTCGTTTGTTTTTGTTAGTTTAGTTAGTTATGTTAGTTTAGTTAGTTGTAGTTTAGTTAGTTTAGTTTGTTATGTGTTAGTTTGGTTGTTTTATGTTTGTTTGTTTCTTTGTTTGTTTGTGTTTTTTTTGTTTGTTAGTTTAGTTTAGTTTTGTTCGTTCGTTCGTTCGTTCGTTCTTCGTTCGTTCGTTCGTTTGTTTTGTTCGTTCGTTCGTTCGTTCGTTCGTTCTTTCGTCGTTCGTTCGTTTTGTTCGTTTTTCGTTCGTTTTCGTTCGTTTTCGTTTCGTTCGTTCGTTCGTTCGTTCTTCGTTCGTTCGTTTCGTTCGTTCTTCGTTCGTTCGTTCGTTCGTTCTTTCGTTTCTTTCGTTCGTTCGTTCGTTCGTTCGTTCGTTCGTTCGTTCGTTCGTTCGTTCGTTTTCGTTCGTTCGTTCGTTCGTTCGTTCGTTCGTTCGTTCGTTCGTTTGTTCGTTCGTTCGTTCGTTCGTTCGTTCGTTCGTTCGTTTTCGTTCGTTCGTTCGTTCGTTCGTTCGTTCGTTCGTTCGTTCGTTCGTTCGTTTGTTCGTTCGTTCGTTCGTTCGTTCGTTCGTTCGTTCGTCGTTCGTTCGTTCGTTCGTTCGTTTCGTTCGTTTCGTTCGTTCGTTCGTTCGTTCGTTCGTTCGTTCGTTTCGTTCGTTCGTTCGTTCGTTCGTT